TCAAATAAAAGATCCATTATAGTACATATTTACATTACCTACCTTTTACTTGGGTCAATTCTCGTAACTCGAGTACACCTCTGCCTATGGTCTTTACCTGAATCTAGTCCGATAAAGGACATTTTCTTGCGAAATCTTACTGTTTTTACTTTCAACAAACACATAAAATTACCTATTATTCACACACACTTCACAATCGAATAATATAGGTACTTGTACTAGAAACTGATAAACAAATACACTATTTGAAAAACCTACACATATATTTAACTACTACTACACATTTATGCAACTTTATGTTTAAAACTAATTCCTAATAATTTAAACGAAAACATAAACAAAGCGATCGCACATCACATGAAAACAATATGGCCGAAAACATTGGAAACGAATTGAAGTCATTACCAATAGTCAATTGAGTGTTTATTATAAAAAAATGTAGCTTAAAAATTAAGGTAATGCAGCGTTTAATTTAAAAAAAACAAAGGTTAATTTAGTAAGTCAAATGAAATTGCATCATCGTCTTAAACCAATATTTCATACTAAAAAACATTCATTCATATAATTTGAAACGTTGTAAATGGCGCCATCTTGAAGTTTCAATAACTTCCTTTTAACTTTTATAATAATAAAGTCAACTCCTCGTTTAAAATTTCTATAAACCGACAACGCGTAAAAATGTTAAGCTTTAATTAAAACACTTGAAACATATTTGTTAAATACGCATTTATAAAAATACATTCGCATTATATCGAACGAGTTCAGAAGTTTCAACAAAAAATTCAATAGATGGCGCTGGTGTACTCCATTCATCAGTACTTTACGATATACAGATTTTATCAATTTCAAACCTTTTATGGTTTAATTGTTTTTAAAAATACAATAAGTCGTTGCTGTTTTATTGTTTTAGAATTCTTAATAAAGTACGATCGTTTTCCAAGTGATGAACGAACGGTCCTCTAATTTTTTAGTTGCTAACATTTTGACAAGCAACAGGAATCGTGTAATATAATTATGAATGCCAATGAATGGTTATTCTGTACCGTGACTATGGTTGTGAACTTCACGCATGCGCGGTGCATACTATTGGTGCTTACATTACTTTTGTGACGTCACGACTAGCGACCAAGATTTAAGGAATAGCAGCGCATGCGTGGTGCGTGCGGGGCGCATTCATTGCTTTACAAAGGCGCGTATTTATGTTAGCCGTTTTTTTACAAACTTTTATTATATTATTGGATTTTAATAAACGCGTTTGTACATTTTATGTATGTTATATATTCACGATATTTATAGGTAGGCAAAGCCTTTTCGTCTATATGGACTGCACGCCACTGCAGACTACACTTCTTGCAACAAAACAATTTTCACTACAATTTTACAGAGAACATAATTAAGTACTTTACAAATCTTTTGACTAATGTACCTTATTATATCTACATTATAGAATGTACTTACACTGTGAGTTCACATTGTAATTGAGTACTTGCCAATTAATCAAATTCAATACTTTTTGTAAATAATAAATAATGTCAAAAACGAACAGTTTTTTATGAAATTTGTACAGGATTATGTATTGTGATATCCCGTTTTTTAGTGTCAAACTGCACACTTATTTCTTATAAATACACCGGAAAAATACAATAATTAAGTTGGTCATAAAATCAATAAATAAAAATTCGAATGAATATTTTTTTTTATTTTCGCATATTGAACAGTCGAAATCATTTATTTTTGATTAGGGAAAGTACCCAAGTAAAAAACTTTAAAGACAAAGCACTGAAGATTAAAAATTAATAGCAAAAAAAACATTAAACCAATAATTTTAGTAAAAAAACACATTAAGTATACTAGAAGAAAAAGAAAAAAAAACTTACTTCTTTGAAATTTCCTTGCAACAATTTCAAGCCAATATTATATGTAGGTATATCGACTCGAGTCCCAAAGCGCTGGAGACCGTAATAATTGATAAAACCATGTTCCTGCAAGTCCTTGCAAGCAGTATTCACCACCTCATCTGAAGCGGTTACATTGCGGAGTGCAATGCGGAACCTATAAGACAAAAAGGTCTCTTATTACTGTTACTATGATGTTGGCCCGCAGGTTTGCGAAATGCTCGACAGACGTTAAGACTTTGTTTAAAGCGTACTGTCAGTCGTTCTATACGTGCAATCTGTGGATCGACACGCGGAGGGCATACAACGCTCTGCGAGTTCAATACAATAACGCATTCAGGGTGCTGGTGGGGTTGCCGCGGTACTGCAGTGCCTCTGGCATGTTCGCAGAGGCAGGCGATGATAGTTTTCATGCCATCATACGAAAACGTTGTGCCTCAATTATGCATAGGGTGCGTGTCAGCCCCAATAGCATCCTGAAGACTATAGAAGACAAATGAGACAGCCCCATACTGGGGCAATGGATATGCTATTGCTATTGCCATGCTATTGTGGCGTAAGTTAGTCATGTTTATTTATAACTGGTAATTTTAAGTACTAACACTAGTTTTATAAGTTGTTTGTTTACTAATTAAATGGATTTACGTTGTCCGAAATAAATAAATAAATAAAATTAATACACGAATATTATCAGAAAAAATGTGTTTAACTCTATTACCTGTTGCCCTGAAGCATGCCCAACTTCAAGTTGGTGTTCTTGAAGGTGAAATTCCCGACGTGTATGTCTTTAAGGTACCGAGTGGCCGCTACAAAGCGCCGCGGATCCAGTCGTCGAGCGCTGAACCACTGCGACGTTTTAGCGCGACGGTCCTTCGTACCGGCGTAACCCAACATCGACGGCTTCACACTGCAAACAAGTTAGGATAACTTCAAGTGTGCAAGAAACTTTGATCCAACAGATAATCTACATAATGTAGAGGTTTGTTGGATGTTGTTCTGTAAGATAATGTAAGCTGTTTTATAGATAGTACACACGGCCACACATCAATCTACACAAAACCAGTTTATCCTGGTGTCGCGTCGCATCATCTTTCCGCACATTTAACGTTCAGTTTATACTGGTTATGTAAAGCTCGATGTGTAGCCGTGTGTAGAGGTACATTACCTCAATAAAGATTGAGGTTTATTTGTACATCCCTTGTCACTAAAATTTTTTCATAGATATAGATGGATATAATTGTTATTGTAAGTACACCAAGTAAGTAATTTTACAATATCATAATTTACAAATAATAAGAAGGGTAAAAGAGTGGCCGTATCGCTAAAAAACGATATCTACCAGGCGCCAGACCCAACCTCTGCGCGAATGGAAGGTTGATTAATTTCAGTGCCTAAACTTAAGTTTCACTTCAATTTCATTCATTCACTCGAATATTAAGTTTGTAAGGTAGCTCACCATGGCCTGGTTGATTAGGGCACTGTAGAACTCCGCTGGGCAGTGAATGTGTTAAAGTAAATCTTAATTAAATATTAATAACTGTATGTAGTAAACAAACAAAATTGAAACTCACTGCACCCCTATTCGATCTGCAATACGCATAGCCGCATCCATTGTATCACAGTTCTCCTTGTGCACGATGAAGTGCACATATTCAGCCGGCCAGGTCCACTTGACTCTGTTGTCTATGCGTACTGTAGCAATTTAACAATAAAACCATAATTATGTGCTTTGTTCATACATACTCTTTCATAAACGGTTCGAACTTCCTGGTAAAGTACTTGATTAAACCCATTGAGTATTTGACCAGATGCAATGCTGTAATATTGTGATGATAGCATGACATGCTGCTGATATATGGTGCTATGGCAGTACTTGAATGTATGGTTGAGTCCACTCCTTCAAGTTATACACATAGTAGTTACGACACCTTGGACGTCAACTAACTTTTTCCATGGTATAGGGTGTCAAAGAGCAGATGGATCACCTGAGGGTAACCAATCACCTACAACACCCTGCAGCACGAAAGGAGTTACAACAATAAGAACATACCGCCTTTTTTAAACTTCTGGAAGCGCATCAGTTTTTTGTCTTCAATATTAACAGTGCTGCCAACGATGCTGTCGCCGAATGCTTTCTTCACAGCATCATGTATCTTGGTTCTCTGTTCCTTTGTCACTCCTTCCATATCAATCTGTAAATGAATTAACAGCATTTGCACCAGGTTTTTATCCGAAGGTTTTGCATGTACTATTTGTTCATACTTCGCGGCTGTTACTTATTATAAAATTATTAGTAGTTATAAAATTAAAGCTATCATTACAGAAATGACACTGTTTATGTTAACTTTGAAATTGCATTATAAACTGTGTATTTTTTTGGTCTATATTACAATGTAAATGACATCTTTAATGACAGTAATTTGTAGTACATGTATAAGTTTAACTTTTTAATTATTTTAATTACTTAAGCACTAACATTTTAATACATACATAACACCACGCCTTGTATCCCCGAAGGAGTAGGCAGAGGTGCACATAATGCCACTGTACAATGTAACACCCACTTTTCACTATTTATGTTATGAGTCACATGTGATAGGGGGTGAGCCTATTGCCATATACCGGGCACAATTCCAGACTCCGTCCTACTACTGATTATTTTTAAACACCCCAGTAATACTTTGCCCGACTCGGGAATCGAACCCAAGACCCCTTGCCTGGCAGTCGCACATGTGATCACTCGGCCAATGAGGCAATCATTGAACAAGTCGAGGCAACATTTTAATCTATTATACTATGATGTTTTTATTGTGATATTCTATCTTTATTGACTTAAGCTAACAATATTTCATACGCCTGTGAGGGCAGATATTGGTGATAACTTAATACTGTAATCATAACAATTTACCCAAAATGTAATAAATAAATTATTTTGATTTGATTTGATTTGATCTACTTAGCAAATGTGATTGTTTGG